TAGATTGATGAGGGGTGAGGGGAGGTTTTAGTAATTTTCAAGAATTAAAGTATACCCGAATTTGGTCTATTATATTATAAAACAGAAAAGATCTATAACATAAACTTGGTGGTCAGTTTAAACGTGTGGTTTTAGGCCTTCCTGGCTTTTTACCATGTTGAATTTAAGAAAATGTCTTTTTCAAATTTTGTACGTGTATAAAAAAAAATAGATCTTTTATGTGTAAAAATAAATTTTTCATGTGTAAAAAAATAACAACAACAACAACAACCCAGTATAGTCTCACTTAGTGGGGTTTGGGGAGGGTAGTGTGTACGCAGACATTACCCCTACCCTGGGGTAGAGAGACTGTTTTCAAATAGACCCCCGACATTTTTTCCTCCAAGAACTTCCCATCTTGCTCTTGGGGAGACTCGAACTCACAACCTCTTGGTTGGAAGTAGAGAGGTTGTGAGTTCGAGTCTCCGCAAGAGCAAGATGGGAAGTTCTTGGAGGGAAGGATGTCGGGGGTCTATTTGGAAACAACCTCTCTACCCTAGGGTAGGGGTAAGGTCTGCGTACACACTACCCTCCCCAGACCCCACTAAAACTAAAGAGTAAAAAAAAAGATGGGGTCATAAAACTAAAGAGTACAAGTTTGTAATTGGCCACAAAACCGATTGACGTCGGAAAATTATATTATACATATAAAATTACTCCCTCCACCTCATATTATCAGTCGAGGTTACTAAAAATAATTGTCTTGAATTATTTATCATTTTAAAAGTTCAAGACAAAATTAATTATTTTTTTCTTTTTTACCCTTAATTTAATTATTCTTGAAGACTACAAACACCTCAATTATAAGTATTAAGTGAACTGAAGAGAGATTATATTTTACGATATAAATAAAGGTAAAATAGTCAAAAACCTTTTCTATTTAATATTTTATAAGGAAGGTGTAAAAGATAAACACGACAAATAATTTGAAAGACGGAGGGAGTATATATTATTTTTTCCGTCTATATTTATCGAGTACAGCTCTAGCGGAGCCCACTTCTCCAAACATTTGGGCATTGTTTATCGCTTAATTCATAAATGCTGTTGTGATGGTCGGGCGGGCGAAGCTAGGTGGACGAAAGGGAGTTTAGCCGAATTTCTTTACTGAAAAATTATATTGTATATATATGCTTAAATATTAAATTCTTTTAACTTCTTTGCATGTTTATTTTTTGAATCCCATCAATTATTCAACATATTTTAGTTGTGATTGCAGGCCGAAGGTGGTTATGTTGCTTTGCGATACAATAATTGAGTTCTTGCTCATTTGGTAAATTTCTTGTATGTGCTTTATGTTTAAATATCTTAATATATTAGAGAATT